CGCAATCAGACTTAGCAGGTGCTTCTTGAAAACAACTCAGTCTATTTTTAAAATTATATGCAAAAAGAAAAAAATTTTGTCCCGCGACAAGATGCAAGGTGAAAAACGCGAAACATCGACCCAAAACTTGCATTGCTATAATACTGATGTTGCGCAACAAGTTGAGGATTTTGGTATCTCGCATTTCGTCGCATTTAACGCGGTCCTTTTACTCTTATCGACAACGATATTCGTCATCACAGTGGTCAAAGTTAACTTTGTTGGAGACGCACAAGTCGCACACTACATGTTGACCACTGTGATGACGAATATCGTTGTTGATAAGAATACAGACCACGTTAAATCATAAAGATTTACTGATATTTGCTTGTGAATTGTTTTAAATCTAGTTTCTTGTATTATCAATTATGTCAACGGTTGAAAAAAAAACCTTGAGGTAACCAGGATTTCTGGTCACCTCAATATTCAATTTTTTTTTCACAGTTTATAGGATAACTTTTGAACAGCTTTCCACCAAAAGTTACGCCAAGAAGGAAAACGTTATTTCTTCAAATCTCTCGAAATTTACTGTGAGCTTTTTTGTTAAAAGGAAGGATACAAATACAGAGAGTGACCAGTGCCTCTACAGCTACGCAGAAGCTTTTAGTACTCATAGAAATGGTATTTCTGTTCGGTTGAATAATCCAAGATGGAGCTCGAGAATTAAAATCATTGTGGATGCGAGGTAAGTGATGTGTGAAACAAAACAAGAACGTGTTGAGAAAATACCGGCGCTCCGCTGAACATTATTAGAGGTTTTTTTGAGGCGATTGGCTTTGTATTGAAGCAATTTATGTGGAACTATGAAGGGAAGGGAAAATACTAACTTTTTACTTACCGAGCGAGAGGGTCGTACTGGAGAACATCGACCTGAGGTCGTGGCAGTACGGACCGAGTGCAGCGAGGGCCAACATTCCTCAGTGCGGCTCGAGTAAGTACCAAAGTAGTTTACCACCAAAGTAGTTTTTACTACCAAAGTAGTTTTTTTATATGACACTCGGTCCCCATTTATTTATCTTGCCGCCTTTCATGAACAAAAACGCATGGCTTATGACCATTTCCGTGAAAACAGTCTTAAGTCTTTGGAAGATATGAGAATTTTTAACGTACATTTGTCTATGATCATTTTCCAAGTGAGGTAGACACCAGAGCTAAGATGAGTGACACAATGTGTTATCGCATCTGTGTTACCTGGAAAAGCACAAAAGGCCCCTGGAAGCTTTATCTGGATGGACAACTCCGGAGCAATGGAACAGGCCGGTGAAGGAAAATCACCAGATTCCAGTCGGCGGAACAGTTGTTATCGGACAACAACAAGATAGAGTTGGAGGGGGCTTCCAAAGCAAAAATAGTTTTGGACCGGGTGGGGTGACAGAAGTTAACCTTTGGAGCAGGGTCTTGTCAGCGAGTGATATTGCTGAACAGTATGCAAACTGCTACATCACCAAGGTCAGCCTAATGCACTGGTGGGAACAATTCAAAGATCGCGTTTCAAAATGTGATAGTCGTCGAGGCTTGAACTAAACATTGAGCAGAACTGTAATCATTGACAGGTAGCACGTTTTGCACAAAGCGAAGTCTTTGTGTCATGTGAGAATTCATGTTCTTTATGAGACAACAACATTAACACGTGTCCACTTCTTTTTTACTCTCAAGATAATTTTTTTTATCTAATCACAATGCAAACACTTGAATCTATAAGGTAACTGCAGTAAGCTCATCATAAGTAAATCTGGAACAAACTAACGCTTTAACCACGTCTATGTTCTCGTTGAGCCTATATTAACACTGATTAAGCGGCATCGTATTAAGCAGTAACCCTGTCAGGCTAAGCGGTCAGTTTTTGAAGTCCCGAAATTCTTTGGGCCATTTGCTGTAAAAAAGCGGTCACCCTTATTAAGCGGCTGCGCTCACACTTATTCACTGAGTCTCAGCAGTCCCAACGGCCTCTCTGTATTTTCTTCCATCTGTCCTGAACGGTCTCTTAAAGCGGACCCCCTTCAAAAATAAAACTGAGAATAATCTTCTGGTGTCGTGTAACTCCGTTAACCTTCCCCTTTGTCGGGTTTAGTTCGATGTTTCACTGTTCAGGATCTCGCTTCTGGATTTCGTCTTGTTGTTCGATTTGAACGTAAAAGATACATCGATATCGTCAAATGTGCTTACATGTGCGTTTTAGCCTGAACATATCTAACATATCCTTTGAAGAAGAATGTAAATTGAAAGGAAAAAAAAAGGAAAAAAAGGGAGGAAAAGAAAAGACGAAAGACAAGAAAAGTTTGATGTGGCCAGGGTTCGAACTTTATAGACCTTATCTTTTTCACCAAGTACGCAAAGCCTATGAACCGGCGAAATTTGTTTAAAGATACATTTGGTGCCTATTTAACTCACATACCCATTCTACTGATTTCCTTCCCTATCAGCGGCCTGTCAATTGACCTGTGCACAAATTCTGTTCTAACCAAGTCCTTTTGTCGCAATTTTGGCATCGACAGGAGCTGTTCATAAACCCAACTGTATTTTATACCTCATTGCTTTTTTAGTGCAACACTCTACAACTATGTAACATTTGGCACATGCATTCACAGACTGCCTCCCAGAATCGAAGGCTTTCAACTTGCGGACAGTTATACACGCGTGTGTGCGTGTCTATGCGCGTGGGCATGACGTAATTTGCGTCACAAACGAACAACACTTGCATCCAGAACGTAAACACAATATGGCGGCCATTTTAAGGTGAATACGGAATGAACTGCCTATTCTGATACCACAGCAGGAGCAGAAATGGCAGTTTAGAGATCTCTCTCCTTCCCGTGCATGTTATCAGTCTGCTGTTCGTTGGTGCTTACATGGAGAATGTGACATAAAAGCGGCTGGAAAACTCTAAAATGAAGACAAGGTGAGACAGTCGTATCATGTCGAATACTAAGGTGAGCACTGCTCTACGGGCATAATGAATCATTTTATCTCTGCTTCCTATTACCTTTCGTTGCGAAGCAAGCAAGCCTGCAATATTTCCGTTATATTCTGTTATTCTATGGGCACAGTTTTTAATGTTTCAAGCGATGTCTGAATACTTCTCTCCACCAAAGGAGCTGAGCTCGCAGCACCGTGACAGTCTCTACCTCAGTCTTTTATTTAAGGCAGAGAGTTTGTTTAATTTCGAGGACTTTCTAAGTACATCCAGGAAAGGTTTCCGTATAACCTCATACCAATGAAAAACAAAGCCGTAGTCTCAAAGGAAATCTGTTGTTTTACAGTTGCCAAGCCTTTGATTCAGAGTGAGGCTGAAGGTGACCTTTGTTGGGATTCCAGTCAAATAAACTATCACAAGGTAGTTGGAATCGTTTAACAGAACGAACAACTTACAGAGCAAGCCAGTCCTTGCACGAGGTAAGACTAACTTGATTGGCTAACTCGAGTGACATGACAACAAGCGATTGCGTGGCAATAACGTTACAACCTTGTTTTGTGTCTACAATTTGATGATTGGATGCTCTAAAAAGAGTGGGGAAAATTATCTCAGAAAGGTTCTTGAATACAGAAATAAGGAAATCTGGTTAAGCATCAGTCTCAAAGTCAGTGTGGATTTGCTTTTCAATGGTGCCTTCATTCCAGTAAGTGCCCCCTCTTTAGAAAGCAACTATACAAATTTGTTTTCAATTGGTAAATAAGTGCCCCTCCTTACATACAATAAGCCGCTCTATTCTGTTTCAGTGATAGGAAGACTGGAGTACATATTCCCTACCTTTATCATTCAAATATAATATCTGTACATTTGTTACTTGAATTATTTTATAGTTTCTGATATTGTTCCTTTTTAAATACACATCTAAGCTTTGTTTAAAGCATGTTCTGTTCTGCTGTTTATCAAAAAAAGAAATAAGTGCCCTGTCAGTAACAAGTGCCCTGTTTGGAATAAGCATCATCCCTTGAGGTACCTCAAGCAAATAAGGACCCCAGCGCTAAATCAAATCATTACTAACAGTACTTGGTTTCTAGGTGACTGAAGAATTTTGTTGACAAACAAACCTTGTCCCAAACATTTTTTAGGTAACAATGAAACACTGCTTATGGCTGATGAAAAGAAACCTGCCAGTGAATGCTAGTCTGGTGACATCACATGAAAATGAATATTGTCCACAGTCCTTGCCTTGTCCACTCCCTCTGTCTGGTCCCTGTTTTGTGATGAATGACAGAAACTGAGAACAACTTATTGAATTCAACATGGTGGTGAAAGATTGGAGGAATATGCAAAAGACATTGTGTCTACGATGGGTGTACAATGTAGAAGAGGAGGAAATGACTCTTAAAGTTCACTCACATAGTCCATGTGCTGCACACACTGCATTGAGGTAAGCTGTAATTTAGTTTCTCCAAATCAATTAATAGTGCCTTGTTGCAACCGCTAGTTACTGTCTTCTTTTAATATAGTACCAAGTTAATAAGTTTGACACCTGGGTGGTGCTGTTTTGAGAAAATTTTCATCCCTAATGTACCATAGAGACTTACATGGAAACTTGAAATCAATGTTTCCCATTTCAAAATCCCAAGGTCAGTTCCAAAGATATTTACGTGTATGTAAGTTTTAAACTATATCACTAAAATATGCAAATTGGACAACTGATGGTGTCATTTACTCTACCTGATTTTAAATCAGGAATGAAAAGAGAACTAATTCTCCATCAATATGCAACAGTTACTACTGAAATTGGTCATAATATAGGTTCAGAATGCCACACACTCACTGTTGTTACAATATACTGTTCCCTAGACAACACACTCTTTTCTTGTCTTATCTAACCTAATGAATTGTTTCAGTTATTTTAATTGAAACTCAGTAAATTTTAATTCAAGTTGACCAAAAGCTTTGAAATACATGTCAGATCTTGCAATGGAGGTAATGATCATCCAATATAAAAATGCAAGGTTGGCTAGAAAATCCATATACCATTATGTCAGGTCTGGAACTTAGTAAGTTGCTATAAAAACAAAATTATAAAGCTCAGATCATACATCTAGAAGAGTCAAACATTTCTAAATTCCAATCTGTTGAGATTTCTTTTTCTTTAAACTTGTTCCAAAATCTGGTTGAGTCTTAATAACATCTCCAACACCTCTTGAATGGCAAAATGTGTATAAATTATGTTTTATGCCGGTACATATTTTCAAACTGCATTTTTTTGAAAACCAGTGTGTATATAATTATATACACATGTTTTTAGAAAACTTTGAAATTTGAAAACCAATGTATGAAATATATATACCTATTATTATTAAGAAACATGTGAACCATAGTTTACCCTCTGTAATTGGCAATTCTATACGCAAGTCAGCATTTTTAGTGAATTTAAAGTTGAAAAACCAGTCTTAACATCATGAAATGAAAAACCATCTGTTTACTGACAAAAACATGTTTATCAGAACCATCTTTACACAGCCCAGTTTGAATAGAACCTTCTCTCCAAATGGCAAAAAGAATTTAAAATTTATTTCCCAAAAAACATCTGTACAGCAGCAAGGTACAATTAACCCAAGTTTATTCAGTACATACTACAAATTTTATATCAGGGGAATTCTTGTTATCGAGGAAAGACAGTTTTCCTCACTGAAGAGGCGTGACATATACTGCTGTTGCCACAGAAATGTTATTATTTTTTTTCAAAAGGAATGACTATGCTTTTTACAAACTTTAGATAGGGATAGAATAAGATAGCAAGAGGAAAACGGAGATATGCAACTAACCAATTAAAATGTGGAGAGGCTGATTGCGTCAATTCCAAAGGTTAAATAATGAAACTTGATTCCAAACGATCACAGCATAAATAATAAAAACTTCAAAATGAATAAAACTTTAAATGAGCAATAGTTGTGTAAACAAACAAAAAGTAGAACGTGTTACAAAAGTAACACTGATTGGATCACTTTCTTACAGCATGATTGACTTACTGGTTGAATAATTGACATATATGTACTGGCTGACTGACTCACTAACTATAGGACTGACTGGCAGGGTGGCCGACTGGCTTTCTTAATTATTGAATGGATGCACTGACTCTGTGGCTCAGTTACTGGCTGATTGGCTGACTGACTGACTGGCTGACTGACTAACTTTGTGGATGACTCTGATTATTAAAGGGACTACTGATATTTGAGGGTAAGTTTAAATGACAGACCAGCTTCTGCCTGGGATGTATGACTAGCTGACTTTATACTGATGCTATAAAGCTGCTCATTTTCAGTGTTGGACTAAGCTAGCTAGCTGGAACTAATACACAAATTTTTACGTTCAACTGATTCCAACTTTTTTTAAATGGTGATAATTACTCCTTGAATAAGGACAGGCATTTTGTTTCACACAAAAAAAAAGAGTATGAAAAAGAGCATTGGACAATATAGGTAGAGATTCTTGGAGGTTCTGTAGGCAGTGTGGGTACTTCCGAAATTTTCAAAAAAGTAAACAAAATAGAACAATAACAACTGGAAGAAAGATATTTATTTCCTGTAAATTGTGTTTTTGTTTTTTTATTTATCTATTACGATTTAATAGAATAAGTAAAAAAAAGTAAAAAAAAAAGGTAAAAAGAAGTAAAGAAAGTAGAAAAAAATAAAGATTAAAATAAATGATAAAAATAACATATGGAAGATCTGTAAAGGAGTCCTTGACTCAAAGTAGAAACAGACTGCCAAAAAGTTCATTAAAAAATTCAATCACCACCTCATTCCACCCTTTAATAAGACTATAACAATAATAAATTTCTGGCTTTCAACCAAAATGTTATTTGTTTAGATTCAAAGCAAGTGTCCATAGGCATTCAATTCCATCTACTGTATTTACAATTCTATGAAAAAAATGAGTATTTTAGCATATTTATTTTTCAGAGTTAAATCACTGCTATGTCTAAGGGAGTACTGGTCATGTTCTGAATATAAATCAGCATAAGGTTGAATATCAACATTATATATAATCTTGCCATTCAGTGCTTTGTAAAGGAAAGTAACATCAGCTAAAACTCTCTTTGTTCAAGTGATAGTAATCTCACTGTCTGGGTGTTCTCACCATGGATTCATAAAGACACCCGCTAGGTAAAGCTAGGAGGTATGACTAGGTCGATGCCACTAAAGCCATGGAAAAAATTTGTGATGTTCAAACGTGCTTGACGGGCTCGGAGCAGTGATCTGGAAATCAGTGCTGCTATTTCAGTTCAATTTCCGAGTGCAGCAAATTGAAGTCATGAGACTTACAATACTTCCTCGCCCTGCTATTTGAACATGTGTTGAAATTAATCTCTTTGTTGTGATGTCTTTCAGGTAAACAGGGAATTGCTTAAGGAGACAAATTGTGCCTGATTATAATCGATATGAGATTGAAAGTCGCTAGCTGATGTCCTTATCATTCAGCAACAGGTAAGTACTGCTTGCAAAAGTACTCCAAGAGTACTTTAACATGCATGATGAATTCGACGCCGTCCGCTTGTTTAATTGTAGTCATGTTGTATAGTTACTCACAGAGAATAATTGATAATCATCCTTTGAAATTGAATTGTTGTTTTTTTAATAGACATCATCCAGGCTGAATAACTAGAGGACCAAAATTTTACTTTTCTTTTGTCCAAAGCTCTGGAATGTTAAAAGCTCGCTCTCCGCGAAATACATGTAAATGAGATATAAATTTTTGATGAATGTTAAGGTGAAAGCTAAAGAGGCACTGACTTGGTTGTTATTTTGTCATTCCTTCGATTGATGAGTGGAATTCGTCTTGTTGTTGAATCCATGTTATTGAAAAGTGGGTGTTTCATTCCTATACTATAGTGGTCTCCAGTTTTCATAAACAACGCATAGTAGTTCGATATTTCTCCCATACATTTGAGATTCGAAAGATTAAAAAACTTATTGCTCAATGACATTCTTCTATTCTCCGCTAAATTTCAGATTTTGAAAAGAAGCGTAGGAGAAGGAAATGGGCTCAAGATCACTCTTACGTCTAAAGAACCTAACCCTTAAGCTAACCCTAAGCAAGGAAGGAAGGCCAAGTATGGCTTTGTTTACTGTTATTGAGATTTAAGTGAAATTATATTTTAATGTAGACTAAGAGGAGTCATCTTTACGTTTCCTATTTCCAAGATAAATGTTTGTGGTTGCAACTTACATCAACCTTACTAAGGAAGGCGGAGCATTGTCGAAATTTACTTTAAACAGATTTCCGTTTTCCTAGTTTGCCAGATTGCCGTGATTACAAGTTAAGAATTTCGCGAGTGGCTCGCAGTTTTTATCGTCTTGAATGACTTTCGATTTCCACTTCAGCTTTTATGCGAAGGTGTCGTCGGCTTCCAGGATGACGTTACTAATTGCCGTCGGGGTTCTTGGATTTATCGTCGTTGTTTTGCAGAGGACAACTAGGAAATGTACAAAGTTGCTCATCACACCTGCTTAGCTATTATTCTGCAAAATAAATATTTTGTTTCACCACGTTATCGCTGCTATCGCTGTCGTGGTTTGCGCAGATCCCTATTTCATGGTGCAAGCAAAGTGGGTATAGTTGAAGTAAATATTAATTTTTTTTTACTCCGGTTGCCGCTGTTGTAAAATTATTAACTGTTGTCGTTATCGTTGCTTACTTTTCTTCTTTCAGGTAAAGCAAAGACCTCAAGTTGAAAATGACGATCAGAGAGAAGAAAATGGTAAGAACAATTGATATTATTGTTAAATGTTCAAAACAGAAATCGTTGCTATTTCTTTAGAAGAAATATTAAATGCTCTAAAGTCTCGTTTTCATTTCTTTTTTTATTTACCGTGTTGTTAATTAATCTTAAATAGTACACTTGACTGGGTGTCAGTAACAGATCTGTTACTGATTTATTACCAGTTATATTCGACGGAAAAATTGATAAATTATTTTTGTGTTGTACAATTTCCTTCAGATTGAAAGAGAAAGAAGAAATAAAACGTCCAAGAAAGTATCAGCGTGGAAAGGAAGGATGAACTGACGAAAAATCGGGGGTCGCTAGACGCATGTGTGTTGTTATAAATGTTAGTACCACAAGGTAGATAACTATAAGAAAGTTTTAAGAAAGTTGTTTGTAGGGTGGGTGGGGGATTAAAACTGTCTAAAATGATTGTAATATTACTGTATTCTACGATTGTAAGAGGAAGATAGTAATATTACTCTTGTTACATACATGTATAATAAAAGATTGTATTGTAATACTGTACTGTAATATAAGTTGACTGTTTTCAAAGATGTATACTACAGCGTACTGACTAAAATTGACGGGTGTCGGAAGGGAGCCTCTTTTGGTTAATTTTCCAGAGTAGATAGATACCTGTTGTAAACTGTCTAATGGAGGCAGGTTTGTTGGGGGATGGTGGGAGGACCAAACCCCAATTTTTCACTTTATTCTCTGAATTAGGGGTCGATCCAATTTAGCTTCTTTCGAAGATTGATAATTGTCTCTGGTCTCGTGCTGATCGGGTGGTCCAAGAAACCTGCGAAAGAATGAAATAAAAATTAAGACCAAGAATTGAGCCATTAAAAACGTTACCCGCCTTCATACTTTATCAGACTTTCGGAAAACAAACTGAAACAGACAAACGGAAACAAAATTCAACCTCCGATTTTTTGTTCCTTCCTTGGTTGACATTCTTCCCTACTCCCTTACTTGAGATGGTCATTTCTCGTTACATCTAAAAGGTATGATAAAGAGAGTTTCAAATGAGCCATACAAACCATTCCCGCCAAAAGACTTCTAAGAATTCTTCCTTAAATGCAACGTGGATGCTCATCTGTACTGTAGGTTATCTAGGTGCGCCACAAGGACGAAGCTGGTAGAAGGTTTTAGCTTCCCAATAAAGACTTCTTTTCGAGGTTAAAATTTTTGGCAGCCTTTTTCGTGAAGGGGGCAGAGGTACCTGTGAAATAAAGAGACGTACGTGCAATGAGCAAAATGTCTGGTCGTGTTATATGTATAACCACTGAATAAGAGATTTTTGTGAAGGTGTAGTCTGATCGTCCGGTTGAGTGTAGTCCTGAGAAGGACTGTTGTCGGTGGTAGTGACTGACGTTTCGACAACCTGTGCGGAAGTCATCATCAGAGTCAAGTGAATGATTGTTGTCAGTAGAATGTTCTTATTCCAGTTCGTGTGAAATGATCGGTTGGTTTTGCCGTGATGTTATTGGCTGTAAGACTCAAGTGACGTAAGTCGGTCGTGATTGGTCTGTTTCGATCTGTCGGTAAAGTTAGGTCGTTCTTTTTCGGTCGTTTGTGATGTTTATGTCGTGAATGAGTCGTTTGTATGGAGCGGGTAGTTGTTGACATCTGTTTAGGGGAGTCTGTTCTAAGTTAGTAAACCAGCTTTCCAGAGTCAGTCGTTGAAAATAGTCAGTGCTGTAGGTTAGGCATTGCGCAGAGTCCCAGTCAATGTTGTGGTTGGTAAGTCGATGGTGTTCAGCAATGTGATTGCTGACATCACCTTTCCTCGTCGCCCGTCTGTGTTCAGTCAGTCTTGTTGTGAGGTTTCTGCCAGTCTCACCGATGTAGGAGGCTTGGCAGTCGGAACAATTGATCTTATAAATCGTTCCCTGTCTGTTCCTCGGTTCGTCTTTGTCTTTAACGTTGGTTAGTAACTGACGTAGTGTGGTGATGGGTTTGTGGGCGACGCGGATATTGAAGGGTAGTAAGATGCGCGAGATGTTTTCAGACATGCCTTTTATGTACGGTATGGTTGCTGTAGTCGTAGGGGTTGCGGTGTCGTTTGTTTCGGTAGTGGTAGTGGGTCGGTGAGTGTTTCGTCGGATGAAGTCGTTGTTGTAGTTGTTCTTCGTAAAAACACGGTGAAGGTATTTGTTCTCGTCGGATAAGCTGTCTGTCGAGTCNGTTAAATAGCGCTATCTACTGCGAGGATCGTGCATCATACGTATCTAATACCGCAGTTCAAAATATATGAACTTCATATATTCATTGTATCTCATTTATCACTTTCACGGGTTTATTACGAATCAACTTAACGGCCTGCTCCCAGTTGGCTTGTTAGCTCAATTGGTAGAGCGCTGCACTAGTATCGCAGAGGTCAGTGGTTCGAGTCCCGTACAGGCCTGATTTTTTTCAGGTCTGATTTTCGCTATTGCATAAATAGCGCTATCTACTGCGAGGATCGTGCATCATACGTATCTAATACCGCAGTTCAAAATATATGAACTTCATATATTCATTGTATCTCATTTATCACTTTCACGGGTTTATTACGAATCAACTTAACGGCCTGCTCCCAGTTGGCTTGTTAGCTCAATTGGTAGAGCGCTGCACTAGTATCGCAGAGGTCAGTGGTTCGAGTCCCGTACAGGCCTGATTTTTTTCAGGTCTGATTTTCGCTATTGCTTAAATAGCGCTATCTACTGCGAGGATCGTGCATCATATGTGTCATATTACTTTTGTAATATACATGTATATTAAAAGATTGTTTTGCAATTTTATAGATGTTTATACCACAGGGTAGATGACGTCTATCAAGAGTTTCGAAAAGTGACTAAAATGGACGACTAAGGGGAAATATCAACCTTGGAAGGAACGAAAAATTGGGGGTCGATCGTGCGCATTATAAGACGCATGCCCATTACGATATGTAATAAGGTTCACAGTTCGCCTTAGTTACTTGCTTGAAAAGGTCATTCCTCGTGACATCTACAAAGTAACGTAGATGGAGCTTCAAAAGGCTCATCAAAATGTTTTCTTCGAATATATCGAGGAAGCCTGTCCGTACTTTGCGTCCTAAAAGTGCACCACAAGGAAGAAGTTTCCGGAAGTTTTTAGACTTCAAATTTAACTTCTTTCCAAGGTTGAAATTTTTTATTGTTCCCAGGTACAGTGTACCCGCGAAATAAAGAAAAATAAACGAGTCACTACTTTTCTTTAATATTGTATAAGAGGGCTTCATATGAAATTTCAAGTTTCCGTTCTACTCTACCGCAACAGTTATACTCACCAGAATATGGACCAAGTTTCCCTGAATATTTCAACTTGTAATCTTCGCTTCACTGGAAGAGATAAAAAAAAGCAAGATATTAGAAAATTGCCTTCTGCTGGATCTAGTTAAAAATATTTGGCTTTTTAATGACAATGGAAATATAACGATAAAATTAAAAATCTCCTTTTAACTACCCACAAAATCTAGCACAAAGATGAAATACATTTTAAAACAACCTGGTTGACTTACGACTTACGTAGTATTTTGGGGCGAAGGAAAATATGTATGGTGGGAAAAATCACTCCTCTTGTTATAAGTCAAACAATCGCAAATTGGAGTTGCTATTTCAAGCATTTTGGTTTTTACCTTTAGAATTATACTCTATGGCCTCACTTGGGCATGGTGTCGATTGCGTAAGGTAAGAGTGAAGGACGGAAACAACATAAAGGAAACAATTGGCGTGTTCTTAACGACCAAAAAGAAGTCGGATGAGCTTAGTCGTTCTTTGCACAAAAAAGCCTAAACATTTGAAAAAAAATTCAAAATGCCGATCGTTCAGTGCCAGTAATTAGTTGCCTCACTTTCCTGTAGAGGGTCAAAGGCTCAAATAGGAATTACAAAATGACAAGTCTATGGAAATACGAAGACATTAAAAGCAAACTCTTACCTTCCTCTAAAATTTCCTCCTTCTTGAGAGTAAGCCAAGCCTTTGGGTCCAACCCTCTCTTGCTTGAACTTCATGATGAGATGAGCTATCCACAATATTCTGCTTGGAGTACTTCAAATTGCATTAACAAACTTGCTATAGGTAAAGCTTCTTCAATCCAACTAGGCTGGATTTTCATTTGGATATATCAACAAAGTTGAAATGGTAAATTGGTCACCGTAACGATTACAAAAGCTGACGTTTCGAGCGTTAGCCCTTCGTCGGAGCAAATAGAGGAATTGTGGGCTGTGTGTGCTTTTAAAGGCAGAAAATGGAGCTACGTTTAGTCTTGTTTTTCTGGTTGCCATGTTCCCACCAATAACGTAGCTCCATTTTCTGCCTTTAAAAGCACACACAACCAATTTACCATTTCAACTTTGTTGATATATCCAAATTATTTCGTTACTCCCACCGACGCAGCCCCAAACAGTTTCTTTCGAAACTATCAGCCTTTATTCATTTAGATTTTCATTTGACCTGATGACTTGCTTTTAAATGTGAGTGCTTCTTCAACCTGGAAATCGAAAACATCACCATAGTGCCAAGCCGATTTCATAAAAGGAATATATTGCTACAAGTTATATCATCTCCTTAGATAAACATGTGTCTTAACAAAGAGGACCGAATTTGCTATTTCCCGAAAGTGTCAGAAGATTAATCTGTACTCCATCAAGTGACTGTTCAGTGTTCATAAAAGAAGCACAAGGTAGGAATTCAATATGGGGATTCCTCTATTAGAAGCTTTCTACCTGCACCCTTCCTTTCTGACAAACAGGTCAGTAACACGTAAGCAGTATCCTATTGTATATGCATTAACGCTTATACAGTCTATGTTATAGTCTCCGAGGAAGGGGAACTTTCTAGTACAAGGCCAAAACGAATATGCCGCTGGATGGGGTCCCATCTTCACAACTGGATTGTCTTTAATGGAGTTGTATTTTCAATAAAGTTACTTGAATGGGGCCGCACATTTTCAGGACTTTGGTCGTAAGAAAGTTCTGATTTGTTCGATTTTAAAAGTGTGACCAACTTAACAGGCTTTATAAAGTAGATGTATAAACAGAGAGCTAGGATCGCAAAAATTTCATTAGCCCAAAAGTAAGAAAAATAGGGTCTATAAATAGCCACAGAATAAATCATATTAGGGAAGGGGTTCTAAGAGGCCAGCAGAACAAACCCCGAAAAAATTTAAGCCTAAGTACCCCTCCCCCTTGTTTAATCTACTGTACAATAAATGGAATTTATTTTCACCAGTTTACATCATTGGTCCAACCCCGCCCCCAACAAAAAAAAAATAAATGAGTGAGATGAAATAAAACACACATTCATTAGTAATAAATAAATATGCCTTTTTAATGGTTTACGTAAACGAAAACAAAATTACCTGATTCGTACTTAGTTTCGCGAGTACTTAAGTACGCGCTTTTTTACGATTGTAAAAAAACTCAAATGACAGAAAAAAATTGATTAACATGTAATAGTACCAACACACAAGATGTGTATCGACAAATACATAAATTTTAACTAGTCTTATTAGTTCTATCTTGTTTCTTCTGTCGTGAAATGAAGTTAATTTGCAAATATTTCGCATAGTTGTGGTAAATAACCTGGCCATC